GTCATGCATATACTGTCAGGTCTGCAAAGTCTTTCTACTTTAAATTCACTTTTAAGATCATTTCTTTTTAATTGATCTATTATTTCTAGTTCATTTTTTCTTTATGTAGTTTTAAATGTGTTCTGTTTTATTAGAAAGCACTTTGTAACTTTGTTCTGAAAGGTGCTATATAAATAAATTGTATTATTATCTTATATCAATTTGTATTTTAATAATATTTTGTTTGCCATCCTGCAGTTTTAAGGTTGATATGGACTTTATTTTAAACACATTTACTTTTGTCATTCTCTTTTGTACACTTTGATTTCATTGTAATCATTTTCACAGCATTTTATAACACAACATGATTGATGAATGAATGAAATGTATTGGAATTGCTGAACCACTGTATTTATAAAAGAAAGAAAAATGAAAGATATAGGCAAAGAAGTGAATTTTGATAGGACAAATAGACTAATTTAAACTTTAAAGGTAATACAATTTAATAGCTTTATGAACCAGAAAGCAGCAGCAGCCCCAAGCTCAGCATCAATGTGGAAGGTCCACTGAGCTGCCTCTGATCCAGAGACAGGAACACCTGTGTTAGAGGAAAGAAGACAAATCAGTAATAATTTGGAAGTTAACAAGTGTTAGGAAAAATATCACTCTTCACCGGCTTTAGCTTCAATATCAGGATCCATGTATTTATTATCCTTTCAAGACAGGAAGTACAAACAGACACATACAGAGCATCAACTAGTTCCTGAACAGTGTCCTTCACATGCTGATATCCAAGAGAGGGAGTTACACAGTCACAAGATGGAGGAATACCGGTTCAAAGCAGTATACGATGTTTAGTTCAGATTAGCTAAGACTCACGTAATCAATAAACATGACAGTCATATGTCTATCTCCATAGAGGCTGAATCATCATGTTAATCGTTGTCACATAGCTATCATATACCTAAAACAGTCCTGATGCTCTTCTAGGTAATCATACATCCGGTTACGTACACAGCTACGTGGGGCCTTTGTTATCATGCGCTACTCTGATATTGGAAGTCATTTGACACTCATGTGACACAAGATAAAACACTGGTCAGCACCTTTAACTTCTACCATCTTTGTGGCCTCAGCGGAGCGTCCAGCAGCTGCATTTTCTGCAACACAGGTGAAGTTCTGGAAGGTACCAGGGTTTGAGGGAGTCCACTTGAGCTTATTCTGGTTCACTGAGAAGTAGGTACCGATGGGGAAACCCTGCCTGAACGTCCATCTGACCGTACAGTCCACGTTTAGGGTGCAGCTCGTGAAGCAGGTGAATTCACTCAATCTGCCGGGAAACACGGTGTCAGGTCCACTGATGCTAACGCATCAACTAGAAAATATTAGAAAGTACATTTTAGTATACGAAAAATAATTCATTCTGACGTAGAAATCAATATGACAGCTGCAGTTGATCCAGGACTGCTCGAGTCCTCATTAACCGAAATAAATTAGATCACATTAATCAAGTTCTGAGGTCTTCACACTGGCTTCCTGTCTCAAAATAATATACGTTAAAGGACTACTGCTGGTTTATAAAGCACTGAGTCAAAACTAAAAAAAGGTATGTTCCATATATCCGGATCAAATTACCCAAAAATATCTGCAAGTAAGTTAAAACTCACACTTGTTTTAAATCCAGGCTGAAGACTTTATTTTTTTCCACTGCTTTAAATAAAAAATCTAATTCATATCTTTTACTGGATTTTACTTTATTGTTGTATTTTAAACTGGTCTTTTTGTATTTTGCATGTTTTCTAAAAATCATCTTGGCTGTCATTTGTAATGTGTTCCTTTTGCGCCATATATGAATGATTTTAATGTGTTTTAAAGCGCTTTGAATTGCCTTGTGTTGAAATGTGCTTCATCAATAACATTGCCTTGCCTTATATCTACTCTTCCCTTCAGTAATACTTACAGCTGAGCAGATAACCCCGGCTGAAAACTCTTGTCTGGTGAACCGTAATCTCACACATGTATAATCCAGCAGCAGTGAGTCTAAGTGAAGCGTGACGTTGTTTCGTATGTTCACGTCGTGGAGTCATTTTCTGTCCATCTTTGTACCAGACCACCGGGTCCGACAGCTGCGGTGGGCCCGAGAAGCCTCCAGGTGGAGCACCATGGCACAGCAGATCCAGGGTCAGGTTTAGAGTTGGGACATTGTTTGGAGGACTGATTTGCACAGACACTGGATCTGCAAGAGAAAGAGAGGATTTCCAAATCATGAAGGAAAGAAGAAGTACACGCATCAGAGATAATATTGTGAAATGATTTGTAACTTAAATTCTGCAACTTTTGCTTCAACAGAGTCAGTTGCAGTGTTGCAAGATTCTTTACTTAAGCAACAATACAGAAGAATGATGGCAAAATGAACTCAAAGTGTGTTTTACCTTTGACAGCAAGCTCTTTTTTAAAAGGATAACCAGACTAAAATAAACATAAAATAATAAAAGCCAAAAGAAAATCCAGTATGCATGAACACATTTTACAACAATGACAAGCACACCAACATAGGGAACAGCCTCAATTCAAAGAAGCCTCATGCATTCACACTTTTTTGTATTCAAATTGATTTAAAAGGATTGAACAAGATAAGCGTGTGTGATAACAAGCCTCTGCAGCTTGTTGAAAGTGTGTGGAGCAAACAGTAGGATTAGAGCGGCACAACATAATCTTGACTTCAGGTGCACTTTGAATAAAATCTATTAAAAAAAAAATTTAAAAGAAAAAAATCCTGTCAGTGTGCCAAAAAGTACTGTGTACATTTAAAATGCAGTGGAGTTCTCCTAACTGCATCTGACACAATGTTCCCATATGATTACAGACCATCTTGCAAAGAGATCACAGAAGTTGCAACTGAGGGGAGGGTAAATGGCCTTTCCCCACTTTCCAACCCCTTACTTCTGGCTACCTTGCTTGGACTACACCCATATTCCAACTCAACATTCATTTGATCTCACCTACACCAAGAAAAGTTACATTAATGCATGGTAGCGACACTATTGCTGCATCAAAATCTGTCCACAGGCAGTGTGTTGTAATGCTAACCCCAGTAATGAACTAGATTAGTGTCAGTTGAGGTGACATATCAAAGTAAAAGTACTCGTTCTGCAGAAGGAATTCATCTGGGATTGAATGTGGTAGTTGCTTGAAATTATATAAACATAAAGTAGGCCTATAGAATTGTACAGTAGAAAAAGTACAGTACTTAAAGTTCCCCTATCATACTGTTTTCATCAACATATTATAGGTCTCGGATATATACAAAACATGNCTGACTTTAATCTCAGAATTCTGACTTTTTTCTGGCGCGCAGAAATTCACAGCTTCTGTGAGAGACTACACATTGCAGTAGGCAACAATGGAGGACATGAGTGAATTTCTGCGCGCCAGAAAAAAGTCAGAATTCTGAGATTAAAGTCAGAATTTTTTCTGTAAGTTATGTACAGAGAATGTGATTTTATAATTGTATGTTACCTGTTTATTTTTTACCTGGTTACATTTGACAATAAAGGGTATCTTTGCATGCTTTCTCAGTTTATCTGAATTCATTTTAAAGTAATGGTATAGTAATCTTACCACAATCTAACAAATAATCATTCAAGTTCTGGTTTCAGGGAATATATAGTTAGAGTTGCTTCCAGTTGTCATGTTTCCTGTTACTGAGAGACGGTCCAATGTTTCACAATCAGCTGTCTTCACATCCTGTTGAAGTTATTTCGTCACAAAGTGTAATTATTGTCTCTTGATAGTGACTCTTGGTGGTTTCCATTAGCCTCTCTTGACATCGCCTCTTTAGTTAACCTCTGATCTGGAGGTGTTACTGATTGACTCGCAGGCTGAAAAGGTTTTCTCTTCAGTCAACGTCTATATAGAAAATACCTGAATCATTTATACTGATGACTAGTTAGTGACTCATCAAAGTCCCGCCTTTTCCTCTGAACCTGAACAAATAGGAGGGGTAAGACATTACGCAGAGCAACAGATGAGGGAGACAGAGGCCTCGCTGTGATTTACTCTAACAGTTAATACTGAAGCTGAGGTTGCAGTCAAAATTAAATTATATATATTATAACATTTTGTGCAGCTATGTTTACTTTATGTACAACTCTAATACATGTTCTGTGTACTTGCCCATCAGCACCCTTGATAATCTGTGAAACTTTATTTATCTTGTAAGCCCCTACACAAGAAGGCTAAATACATTTTAGTAAAGGCTAATTATGTAGATAGATTATTGGAATAAAACACAAACAATTGTGCTTGAACAACTTGTCCTTTTTTTTCTTTCTTTGCTTTTATTTGTCCGGTCTTTTCCTGCTTGTATTAACTCTACTTGTCTTTTGGGGTTGGCCTGCTGTTTGCTTTCCAAAGGAAGATAATGGGGCTATCAGTTTAAAAAGAAATGAGCTTGAATATTGGTTTTATTGTTTATACCTCTGAAGAATGTTGACTATAGTTTAGATAAGTTTGGTTTAGTTAATACAATACAACACAACAGTACAATGAAGATGAAGTCCAAAGTCCTACTTCACGGTGTTCCTTAATGTAAATAGCAAAAGGCGATTAGGCAATATCAATGCAACACTGGAAAAAATGCTGCTCCAAAAACGAGTTCAACAAATTGTGAAAACAAGGTGTTTTCACTTGAAATAAGTGCAAACAACTGCCAATAGAACAAATGAAAATTAGATTGGTGAGATTGCTTGAAATAAGAAGGGGTATTTAGATAAATCAGATCTTGTAATCAGCTGGGAAAACTTATTTTGAACTATATGTGACCAGAATCAGGAAATGCCGTGTTTCAATATAAGCCGCAAATGCTCAAAATTGTTCTGTTTTCTCTTTATGTTAGTTGGTGATTTTCCAATGAATATGTGAAAATGTATTAATTGAATCTGAGATACAACTCAAAATAAGATTTTTTGATTTAACAAGATGATGCATTGTCAGACCTCGATATCTCACTGCATTGTTACTTCTGAAGTTATAATGTCTTATAGCAAGTGTCAAGACATATTTTGACTAGATATTAGACAAATATACTTGGCAAGATTTCAAGTTTTTGTCGTGAACAGCAAGCCAACACAATAAAAAAACTCTATTATGTTTCCTAAAATCATTTCAGGGCAATGAAATACATACAAATGCTAACTAGGGGGTTAAGCTTGCACTTCCAAGTTTCCCATAATCCATTATTTGACCTGAAAGCATTAATCACACATTTGGATTGTGATGAGTCATTCCACCGAAACATCAATAAACCCACACGCACATTTACACTTGAATAAAAGCAAGGCGTTGTGAGAAAGAAAGACTCAGGCCCTTATAAAACAGGTGCACGTAATCCTGATCACGGTCACCACAAAGCACGGCAGCACGATCCTCCTTTCTTTTATGGAAATGTGGTTCTTCTGGTCCGGGTGTTGGATTACACGACCACGACATGAGGGCATCAGGCATTCATGGCAGAAATTATTAACCATTTGCATTCACATTTGCAACATTATTTTGCATACCACACTATTATGAGTTATTACAGATAAACACACAGACAGAGAGAGAGACTTGTATCATGTTTTATACCTGGAATGCTGGTTATTGTCTTTGACCAGCTGCCTGTGACCTGTGCTACCTTTTTCTTTTTCTTTTTATTAACATTTTATACAAAGGCAAGGCAAGGTGCTTTATAAACATGAAAGACATTAAGAAAATGGCATTTAAAAACAGTCATTAAAAAGCAAAGATAATAAAAGAAACATTAAAAGAAAAAATACATGAATAAAAGTTACAGTGCAGTTTAAGATATAAATAGCTCAATTAAAAGCAGCGTCAAAAAGAAAAGTTTTCAGCCTGGATTTAAAAGTAGTCAGAGTTGCAGCAAACCTCCAGGTTTCTGGGGGTTTGATCCAGATATTAGGAGCATAATAACTGAACTTCTCCATGTTTAGTTCTGACTCTGGGGACAGAAAGCAGACCAGTCCCAGAAGACCTGAGAGATCTGGATGGTTCATAATTTAGCAGTAGGTCAGAAATATATTTTGGGCGTAAACCATTCAATGTTTTATAAACCAGCAGCAGTACAAAAAAACACATGTATACAGTGTACAGTTCCAAACATACAGAAGTGCACTTCTCAAGGTCAAATTACACAGAGGTACAGGTGCAAAAACAAACACACACATAAAAAAAAAAAAACTGCCCTTCATACAAAGACACATCTTACATACATTTCTAATTGAATGACATTTCCAGCCCCTTTGGTTCAATTCAAGGCAGTTTCATGGTACCTAGCCTGAACTCAAAAATAATCCTATTATGAGGTTTACACTCGTCAGTATTCAATTATCCTTATTACTGGTTTAGTTGAATACTCGATTCTGATTGGTCAATTCAGAACATGTGACACGTTGTCAATCCAGTAGTGAAGACCGCTGTCAAGCACTTATTGACCGTTGTTAAGGAGGCTCAAATCTGCACAAAGAAGTCCGGTCGATTGAACTGTATACAGTTTGGCCGAAAAGCTGATCAGCATGTCGGGTGTTCTTTTCCCCATAATGACCACCTCACTGCACATTATCCCTTACTCGTCGACTTGTGCTACTTTGCCGCTGCTTTTAATTGAGATATTCATATCTTAAACTTACGGTGGCCCTGAAGTGCAAGACACACCACAGCATTTCAGAAAACACAACAGCATTTCACATTGGACGGAAAGGGTATTCCTTTAAGCCCGCGTCACACTGTCCCGAAATTGACACCCGATGGACACACGAATATGGAATTGTGAATTTTGCATGAAGATGACCCCGAACCACACACAAAGGCAACATTTACATTACATTTAAGTATTATTATTATTTATGTTAAAGTATTATGATACTGTACTGATATTTTCAGACTTTGTTCTTTACTTTATCCGTCTTTATATGTAGAAGATATTAAGTTTTCTCCGTAATGTTGTTTCCATAGCAACAACAACTTCCTGTCAACTCGCCTTCAAAATAATATATGATATCCTTTTCAGTTTAACAGAACACAAATTGGGTTATTTACATAATATGTTTACATGATTTTGTTGTGCAATAAAACAACCAGATCGACACACGATAAAGGAAATGTTCAAATTCTGCTCTGATCGTAGCAACATCGTTGAGGGCATCTTAAGCCATCGTATGACCGCCGGTGGAGTTTCTCAG